ACGGAAATATATTTTTTTGCTCTTTTCGAATCGGTTTCATCGTCTGTTTTCACAACTAAGCCAATTAATCAGATTTTGTGTCAAGGTGATTCGCGCATGATACATTAAATAAACCAAAGTAGAAGGAACAGTGAAGATAAAATCCAACCGAAAAGGTTTGCGTCGTCGCAATTTTTTTTGACTCTCTTAAATTAGGATTGACTACATTATATGTATTATTTATGAGCAAATTACTCGGACTAATGTTCCTTAATTCAAGAATCATTTTGAAATAATTTGAAGAAAGAGTTCATTAAATCGTGAAGAACCGTTAGATACGTAAATATTGAAAGCTGGATGACTGCAAAACTAAGCACACGCGCAAGAATAAAGACACAAACCTCAAAGTTTAATCTCTAAAAGTATGTGCACGATCACTCTCTAGAACGTTTAACATTAGAGGCGAACACTAATAATCAATTGAAATACATAGCACGTCAAAGCTATGTGTATTTTTGTTACGTCCGTTTGTTTACTCCCGAACTTTTTATTTGCAATGCCGTACATTTGGAACGAAAACTAGGGTCTGAACGGTGATGCGATCTGGCATTGGTGAATGGTCAGCTAAATCAGAGGAATCATTTCAATGAATGGTGTATCTAACGCATTGGCTCATTCTATGCATTAAAACATTTACTTATGAAATTTAACCTCAACTAAGAACAAAACATCGAGATTAAATAGTTTAGTCCAATGCGCAAGTCTCACAAAGAGTTTATTGCACGATCTATCCAGCCGTTGTTGCGGCACACGTTTTTGCCACATTCGATTCACATAGCGGTGCCGTCGCCATTGCCTTTAGTTTCAGACAATAAATGATCGCGACGATAGATTCCTTCTCAAAAGCTGCTCCGTTTGCTACGACAGTTAATACAAGTTATATTGAAAATATGAACGTTTTTGAACATTGTGCACAGAGAGTGACGACATCAAAACCATATAGTGTGTTTCAATAACCAAATTACAGATGTTTCATTGTTTATGTCGGCATTTCAATTAAAAATTATAGTCTAAAAGTGATGACAAAAGCAAGACCAAGCATTCGTTGTATTGCTGTACTCCATCTCTCTATATTCAAACGCTTGTGAAATAAAACGAAATTGTAGTCGTTCTAAAGCGATGAATACATATACAATATGGGGTTATGTATTGTATCGTCTGGAAGATGGCAACTCATGTTCAAATGTGAATTTGGGATATTTCTTTACTCTATTTGCTTTCACAAAAATTCGTTTCCTGAACCGATTTATGTGTTTAAAGAACAAATTGAACTTATCAAATCTCATAAAGTTCAAATGTTCATTGAGATCGCTTTGTTCTTGTCATGAAATACTTATTATTTTAACGAGTGTCGACTGAAATGCCCCAAAATCGGGCAAATATAAAAAAATAGCAATTCAAGTCTTGTGAAACACATAAGTATGTCATCTGTGATCTGGAAATCAGCCTCTTATCGGTGTCGAATGCGTTGTACAAGTTTGAATATAACGTGCGACATATGTCGCGCCGATACTTTGGAACTTTTTTCTCCTCATTCTTCGGCGAATCACAAAGCCTACTGCGCGATGGATTAGTCTCTAATAAAGCATATGAATTTATCTGATAAACTGCAAGCGTTGCGTTGACTTGAAATGTCCTACTCAAAGACTCTTTTTTTTATAGAACCTCCGAAACGATTTCGGTATCAAAATTATCCCGAAAGAGGCGCCGCATGTCCATAGCAACCAATCAGACTTTATACAACACATATACAGATGAATCCCTACGCTTTTCACAGTTGCGATCGATGTGAACTGTGGCTGAATGCTATTGCATCGCTGCTATTGCGAGTGTATATTGGTCAACAACATACCGTTGGGTTTTGGTTCTCAATTATAAGATTTCAAATACTTTACACTCGCACACACAAAGCAACACGCTCAAAACATGTAAACATTACGGTGTCTGTATGAAATACTGCGTTTCATTTGTCTGAATAATTTGTGTTGGTGCGTCGTACGAAAATTGTTAGATGCTACAATATGACTTGTTGCTTTTTTCATACAACCGTGAGCAGTGAGCATCACTGTGAGCAATGGCAATACAAATAAATAACTATTCATTTCAATACTTATTGGTCATCCTTCACTCAAGCGTCGATTATACCGTATTACGCACGCACATTGAAGTGCGAAAGAGACAATCGATCATATTGCACTATCGTTTATCTTCTGTATTACGCATCACTATAGATGATACAGAGAGAGACAGATGCCGAAAGATATAATGAATGCGGACACTGCATCAGTGTCTTTGTATCCCTGTGTGGGGAACAACGTAAAATCTGTGTAGTTGTTGATGTTTACTAAAATGAAACACGAATCGGAGCACTAAAGCGACCTCTGAAAAGATTTTTCCATAGGGCAGAAATCGATCGGTTTTTTACGGAAGTACTTTATGAACTTCAAATACATTCGAAAAACGCAACACATGTGGTATTTCCGTGCTGATTTCATTTATTGGAGATCAATGCGATTAGCGCTGTGCGTTCCTCTCAATGGTGGTTTTTATATGCAAATGAAAAATGAATCAGTGCGGATTGCATATCCCTTTGGAATAATTGAGCGAGAGAAAAGGAAGTATGAAAACTTTTGTTTTTATTAAAGAGTCTATGTGTCAGCAAAATTTAGAATGGAAATGAAGCATAAATCATGTGGCAATGTAGAACAAAAATATGCTTTGTCTCAGTTTTGTTTCTAACCCAATTTCCTATATGTTTCACTTTGTTTGCTCTTTATTAGTATAAAAATTTTAGTGTCGACTTCGTTTCTTATTAAATACACTAAAGGGATCTCTCATTCACACCGATTCAAATACGAACTGATTTAAGTCGTGAAGCGTCCATCAAAAAAAGTAGACGCTGAACGGGCACTGTAGCCAGTCACAATAATAGTGAGCAGCTGAACGGTATACCCCACACAAATGAAGTCGGATAATTTATGCACGAATGAAGCTCATGAAATTTGATACGAAATCAACATCCGAATGATCGCATTTTTTACTTTATATGCATGGATTATTTGTGTTAAAACCTTTGAGTATTATTTTTTTGAGAATTGAAGAAAATTATATTTTGTTATCGGCGATAACTTATCATTCCAATCAATGTGCATTTTTCGGTGGAAAGCAATGAACAAAATACCATAACACAGAATTTATTTCCACACTTGAAATCAGCACAAAAGAAAAGTGTGAGAAAAGTGATAGTGCCAGTTAAATTTCGGCAGGATGCTATGAAAGAAGATAAGTTGTAATTATACAACAGAGTGTGTTCCATTGCGTTCCGATGCGGCGCATTTGCTGGAATAACATTTAAATCATTTCAAAAGCAACGGCATTTCCATTCGATTCGTACATATCGGACGTGTGTATGAATTTCATTTTCACATGGTCGGAATGAATCCGTGTAATTATTGGTATTACGATTGATGTGCCTGAGTATTCAAAAAACAGTGGCATCCCATGAACTGAAAGGGAGTGATGGCTTTTATGCATACACAAATTAACCGAAAATTACTGTTAGTTACCGCCTAAGTGCTCGTGAAATCGGCGATATATATGTATATTCTGATGAAAGAACGAGGAAATAAAAGAAAACGATAAGTGATCGATGGAAAATATATGCGAAGGCAAAACCAAGAAAACGGAATATAGAAGGGAAAGAACGACGGATCGGCAGCAAAATATAACAAAGGGTGACACGTTGCTATCACATGTTGAGAGCAATGATCAACCAATTCGAATGTTTTTGAGGCGCATAAGAAAACATATTCACACATGCAAAACAAAAAAGGCACATAATCGGAGATTTCCAAAAAAATCGTTCATAATGGAAAACAAAAATACCTTTATCTCATAGCGCGCGCAATACGAAGAAGTATGTATAAAAAATTACAAGTGATCTGGTAAGCAGGGTGAAGCAAAGAAAATTCACCGAAATTGCAATTGCGTTCAATTGCACATATGTTTATTTGGTATCTTTTGATGAAGAGGAGAATAAGAGATCATTTTGTGCTAAACTCAGCTCAGCCTAACTCTTAACAGACATTGAAATTCACTGAAAGCTGATCTTTTTCTCGATCAACACCATTGATTCGAAGCAACAGTCATGTTTTCTCTTCAAGCTCCTTGAATAAGCAGTTGCAATAATGAAAGTGGAAAAACAAAATGAACGTCGCAATGAAATTTGAACGTATACAGACAGATGTAGGTGATGTGTACAAATGGGAACGGATGAAATTTCGATAAGAACTTGACAAAAAGGTAGCTGAGGCAGCAGCAATAGCAGCTGAATTGAATCGAATGAAGCAAAAGTCTGAACTTGTTGTGCGTGTGTGCATGCATGCCGGTTTTCTTTGCTGCACATTTCAGATTATTCCTCTACCTCTACTTTTCATCTCTTTCTTTGTCTCGGCGTTTTCATGTTTTATGGATGTTCCTCATATTCCCTTACTTTTTTCAATATGAACAAAAAAAACATACACGTAATATATTAAATATATTTGCAAAAATGTTTCAAGAACATTTTCTTGGTGGACCATACGATGAAAAATTATATTTTTTCTTCTAATTTTACTACTACTTCCATATTATCAAAGAACTCGATGTGAATGAAAATGGGGAACTACCAATAAAAAAATTTAAATATACGTTCAATAGAAATAAGATCTTTGTTTGATTGCATATTCAATAAATATTTGCTCACCAAATGTGTCAATACCAGTTCAACTACAACAACTACCACAATTCAATGTTGAAAAAAAGAAATAATTAAAACAAAACCGAAGAAAAGTATTTGCCAAAATTAAGTTTAAAAATTGCCATTTCAATTTGTTCTTTTCATTTTTCTTTGATTTTTGGTTTGTTTGCGCAACACTAAAGTATGTCTGTATATAATATACATGTTACTAATATTAACTTACCCAATAGTGGTGATAAAATGCGTCTTCTTTCTTTCGTGATGTAAAATTTAATGAACCGTTACGTTCTTCTTGTGTGCACACTCAGAAGAACATAGTAAGAATGTGGACTGTGAAATTGTCGTCAAATCACTTTGCAGTTTTCTTTCTGGTATACGCTGAGTTTTTGCTGTATGACGCATTTCTTATACACTGAGCGGAGAAGTCGCTCGTCTGTCGATTGCAGCAACATCATCTTTCTCACTCAAATGCGACCGATTCGGACCATTCTGCGTTTTGCCGTATAGCTTACTGTGATCCCAAATGGTAATATTAACGTTCAAACCGCGGAATTCAACTACGCGACTAAAAGAACGTTTTAACCCGTTTAATAAATGCATGTTAATTCCTGGATATTGAATAATAATTCTTTTTTTAATCCCGGAAATGCTTTCCCATATAATATACAGCGCCAAGCGTAATTCAAATTGAATTCAGCTCACGAAAAAATGAAAAAAATAAACTTGACACCAAATTGAAGAGCAAAGAATGAAGGAAAATTATCGCAAATTTTGAAGACTTAATTTATAAGTAATATTGAAAGAGAATAAACGACTTTTAAACAATGTCCATAGTTTCAAAACTAAAACGAAACTGTTTTTTCATCACAAATATTACCAAAATGTTTTGATCACTTTTTACTCGAAATTTTATTAAAGAACAAGTCTTTTTAAAGTTATCATATTAGATGCACTGAAAATAATTCTTTCGGGGGAAAATTGATCGTGTTCTCAGTGTAATTCGTCCAACGTTCAGTGTGACTGCTTGACCAGTTTAAATTTATTTGTAGAAGATTTGAATATTTGTTCGTATTTGGTTAAATTTTGAGTGTGCTGTTTTCGTGTCCAGTCTCGTGAATGTACCAAGTTTAACTGATGGATGCGCGCGCACGGAACTCAGTGTCAAGAGAAAGAAGCAACGAAACGTTTCTCTGCCTTTCGAATAAGCGAACAAACAAACAAACAAACAAGCATACCCAATGGGTGCCGTGATGTGAGGCCTGGTGCTAAAGTGTGTGAGTACATAGCGCGTTCACAAGCATAAGAATCCGACACAATCACTAACACAACGAACACTCTTCACTTCTTCTTTTAGTTTGGAAAGTATATATGTTAGAAACGAATACTGTAGAAACATGCAAAACGAATTAACAGCAAATGGCAATGGCCTTCCTTCTCTTTCTATCACATTTATTTTGGCCGTTCGATTGGTTAGTTGGTTGGTTCACGTTCATTAGCAAAATGACTCATTTTGTATGCTGGAACATATACACGGACAAATCATATTACACACATCCGAAATGGTATTGAATATTCAAACTCACTCTACTTATTTACGCATTCGTTGTCGGATGCTCTTCAAACGAATTTCACGATCACACAAACATTCAAGAAATACTTTGGGGATTTGTGTGCTTACACAGTTCGTGTATATTTCGTGTGAAAGAAAATATGCTCACTTGCAGATCCAGCAATTCTTTATACAACTACGAATGATATGAGCAATTGTTGGGTATGCGACAAGCGAATATAACCAATAATAATAATAATGAAACAGCAATGCCGATCATCATGAGAATGTGTTAATCAGGCAACAAGAAAAAAAGTCTCTCTCCGTACAAGCAAAATTCAAAACACTCAATCGCATTTAAGTGTTCCATTTCCATGTATTGCGTGTATCTATCTGCCAAATAGACAATTTCGCAACTTGAAATGTTCTGAACAAAATCCAGAACTCATTCAGTCGTTTCTCAGTTTCCCTTCTTCGCCACGTGCATTCTATATTTGGTGAAGGCTATGAAATGCTACTTTCCACCAAAAAATTGATCTATTTCATGTTTGGGTATGGTTATGTGTTGAAAAGAGTGGTGTATTCCTTTCCATACGTGCTCAATAACTAGCGTGTCACAGAAATTATTGTGACGTTGATGAGATCATGCTGTAGACTGATATCCAACTAATGATTTTTGTGTAGTAAGTTAAAATTCGAAACAATCCTTTCCATCGTATTCTAATCATCAAAATTAGGAAACGTGAATAATTTCGTTTCGGACGGGCAACAGTATTTTGCGCAGTTTCTTTTGTTTGTATAGAATATCAGACATTCGTTCCATACGTTTTGTTAGTTTTTCCAATTTTGTTTTTCAATCAAACAAGATTTGAAAAAAAAACTCAACGTATAATCCAAGCTAAATCGAACGAAATGTTCCATTTTTGAAAAATTCCAGCAGTTGTGCTATGGTAACTCATCTTCAGTGCTTTAATCTTCTTTTTATGTTCTGTTTTCATGTACGATCTTGAAATAAGAATATATGTCGAAATTGTTGAACGTGTATACATACACACGTTCAACAAGATTTTTTTTTTTTGCTAGTACAAGGATTTAAGAAGGAAACCCGAACATTGAAAACAAAAAGCCAAGAAACGAGAACCAATACAGAAATAATGCCAAAATATAAGCGCTTTGTTATATGATTTCAAGAGTTTGTTATGTCGTATGTTAAAAGGGAAATAGGTTTGGTGCGTACATCTGCCACATTTCCCTCTCTTTCTCTTGTTCGGTGTGTGCATGCTTTTTTCTCTTTTGAATTCATCTGTTGCTTTACACTCAACGATTGATGGCAGATTGCCTGATATGTGAAATTTCCATACCTTCCTTTTTTTCTTTGTGCAGAACGATTTTCTCTTTTTTTTCTCGTTAAGTTGAGCTCTCCTTTCCGTAACGATTCTTGAATGCAGACAATTTTTGCATATCCACCTTTTGAGCCGTTGAATCCCGGGTATTCTCTTGTTGTTTTCTTTTTTGCAAACTCTCCATTGTTTTCTTCGGCTTTGTTCTGGACTTATTTCTTTCATTTTGTATTTTTGCAATAATTCTGAAGCTGCTGGTTACGACTGTTGTTTCCTATTTTAGGTTATTTGCTACGCTCGTATTTTTCGGGTATTCTGCGTTTCTTTTTTTGGTTGCACCTCAGCATTTTGTCAATTTTTCTTTGAAACGTAACATCTTTGAAATTAGCAATGTCAGACGAATAACTTGCACAAACATTGATTGTATGTTCGCCAGATGTTCGTCTACCTGAATAAATAACGCACATTGCGTTTGTACATTCACAAGCAGAAATTTCGATAAGACATCTTAACATTTTCCGAAAAACACTATGCAATTTGCACATCACACTGAAATATAGAGACGCTAAATTTGGTTTCGTCATAGTGAAAAGTATGTTCATACCGGTTAAGAACTGAAAAAGTTGCATTTCTCCACAAGAATTAATAATAAAAGGTTTCAATCCATTTGCTGTAATTTATATTTCATTTTTAAATAACCGAATTCATTAATGTACGTTATTTGTAGCGCATGCCAAAAGCAGGTGGCGTAATCGAAGAAAGAAAATTTGTGATTCCGTTTGCGTGGTTTGTCTGTCGGTGGAATGGTTGGCTGTCAGTTGATTTGAAAAATAGCCGGTTGAATTTTGCTAACAACCAAAGTAACATAGCGATTTATGAATTGAGCAAACGGTTACGATTTTCCTTTTCGTTCTGTGTTGGCATTAATTTGTGCAAACTCACGTGCCAAACCCTTTGGACAACAGAATTTAAACACATTGCTCTATGAGAGTGGGCAACAAAAGAAAACAGAAATAAGAAACAAAAATACTAAGATAGGCCAGCAAGTTGTATTCGCAACAACATCTGTCTCATATTGATAATGATGGCCACTTTTTGCTTCTCTTGATCACTTTAAACATGTGCTCTTTTTTCACAATAAATAAAAGACTTCTGCTGTTCAAAATATAAGAAAATCGATTTTTTTTCCTCAGCGAGTTGCCTCATAGAAAGTATGTGGTTAAGATAAAGTGACACTCATATCATTTTAATTTCTCGAATTAAATCTAATTATAAATATGTCGTAATGTTGAGCAACATGTAAATGGGCAGCACGCATGCATGTTCCACGCTTCAGAAAATCTGAAGAAGCACCAGACTTAGGTTTGCAATGTGCTGGTGGTGCACCACGCCAAACGGATTTAGCGACACCGTTCCTTAATGCTTAAGGCAATTTGCACAAATGTCGATGATTATTCTTGATTGCTTTTGGTGTAATATTATTTATTTTCGACACTGCAAATCAATGGGAGTGTGAACACCTGTACAATGTACATGTATTCAACACAAATATATCTGATGGAGAGAAAAAGGTTTTTATCTCAGCTTTGCAATCTTCCGAAGAACAATGTAGGGCCCGTCGTCCATCGAAAAAATCAAATTAATTTTCAAATGAAATAGACGAAGAACAAACAAGGACAAAAACTAGGAGCTCGGCGACTCAAATGGTTTGTATCAATATGCAAGTGAAATACCATGTGCACCTTAAGAAAAGCCATCATCGTATAAATCTGTCTTCGTTATTCTACAGATTATACAAAAAAAGCATAATTTAACGTATCCGCTGTAGCGATTGTATATCAGTCATTTTTTTTCCTTTTCGTATGGACTTTTGTATTTTACTGTTGTGGTTTGGCTATGGATAAAAAACAAAACGCAACTGTTGCTGATGCACGAAACACAGATATTCCGAAAATTATGTGGTCGGAAGTAAAAAGCCGAAATAAATTTTTAACGACCAACAAAAATAATGAAGTCCATCTGTTCGATTTAAATTCGTTTCGTGCGTTGTTTTTGTTTTTCTCTCCAGCATGTTTTCCGTTGCACGAATTCACCGAATTACTGCATTTTATTGTTGGCGATGCTTTCATGCAGGTTTTTTTTTATTTCTTCTTTATCAAAGGGAAATTCGCATGCACCAGCCGCTGTCAAACACAATGGAAAAATTTAGCGGATATTGACGCAATTTAGGGCCCATGATACAAATCATCAAAACAAATTCTCGAACATGCTCATAATATGTGTGAAATTTACGTTGCGATCAGATGCGAAGGGTCTGTCCACCGGTGTCGCTACGTGCATTATTATAGTAAATGTATTTTGAAGTCGTAAGAGCAAATATCATTACTTTATGTTGCTTTTCGTTCACAGCGATAATTTCCCATGCATTTCACCTAAAATTGAGAGACTAACCGAAGACCGAATTCCCCTTTGTCTTTCGTTAAATTTGCAGGTAACTTTGAACTCCTGCCAAAGGAAAGCAATTCGATTGGGAGCAATTTTTCAAATGAATTTATGATCATTGTGAATCGACAAAAAAAGCTTGATGCTTATACTCAACGAAAATAAATTTCAACGTACAATATATACATGAATTCGTGTGATAGACGTTGCAAAGAAGACAAAAATTATGAAAAAATTTATAATACATTCCAAAAAAAGGAGAAAAAAAATGCGAAACAGTGATCCAACACATATTCAAATTTGATATTACCGAACTCACAATGTCTATGGAACGATGTGGTATGTGGCGCAACTAGGTGATGGCCGCAGAAGTTCTGTCAAAATTTATACACAACCAACTTGACATTCAGTTACATAGTTCAGCTAACCCATAGTACATCCATCCATGGGCTAGGTGCGCCACCAGCGTGAAAAAATATGACAGTATATGATTCAAGGGGCAATCCACTCAAAAGTAATACATAATACCTGCGAGGTAATACGAAGTAATACTAGGTAAAAATGGTATTACTTTTGATAAAGTAATACTCCTTTAAAAAATAATACTATTGTTTGAAAAAAGTAATACTAAAGTAATACAAGGTAATATTTACATTAGTATTACTTAAAGTAATACTAATACACAGTATTACTTTTGAGTGGTTTGCCCCTCGATATGATTAATACACAGCACATTGTGAGTTCGATATTACTACACGTCCGAATCTTATGTTTTTTGAAATCTCGAAATTTACACGTA